CCCGGCTGGGCAGGCCCTGCTACGGTCACGGACTTGACGGAGACGGAGCATGGCAATGGCACGGTACGATGGCAAGGTAGACATATCACGGTACCGATCGAGAGTTTTCGTAGAGCCATTGTGTACATGGCCATGTCCTTGGAAGGTTGCTCGGACCGCCTCCAGCAGGACAGTCGGCTCCACGACTGGAAGTGCGTTGCGAGCCTCGCGAGCACGCCGAGGCAGAAGGCAGTTGCTCTTGGCTGGTTGAAGACGGGAGCAGGATGGCAGTTGACGGCAGACACGATCAAACACAGGTTGGGACGTGGCACGCGACACTTCGAGGATACCGAGCTGTCTTGCGGGCGCATTCGCGCAGGGAGTCTCCAGGCTGACGTCGTTAGGTGAAAGGAGCTACAGGAAGCATGCTGGTGCTTAGGTCGCAGGAGGACGAAAGCGATTACGAGTATATCGTCATAGATGATAGTCGACAGGTGAATGTGGAGGTGCTGCTCGGCGATCGAAGTGGTTGGAGGAATGCGTTTCTGTTCCAGTTTTGCAGGGGCGAGAATTTTGGTGGGCCAGGGGAGACGCGAAGGACTTGGTGCTCCTCTGCTGGGAGGTATCCACAATGAGCAGCACAGTAGTTCCCCGGCGATCTGCTCGCCAATTTCATGCAGCGACACATCAGACCATGGACTTGGTGATGGACCTGGAGTTGAGAATCGCGATGGCGATTGCGAACCAGACGCGGAGTCTTTGGCGGCATGGCAGCGAGAGGTTCAGCATAATAGCCACATCATATGATATGCCGAAGAAGACGAGTGGCGAGACATGGATCGCTCTTCTATGCCGCCTGAGACAGACTACGACGTCGAAGGCGCATTGTTGGGATATGAGTATCTCTATGCATGCGCTGAACTGAGACCTCGTTGCCAACTGAGCCAGGAAGCTAAGTTCATAGCGTTGTCAGAGCACGACAAGGTCGCGAGGACTTTCACCACCAGAATCACAGAGACCTATCGCGAAGTGGCGGGGATGTTGACGCAGGACCCGGCGGATATTCAGTCGCCAGATTGTATCCCCGAGGATACAACATCGAAGGATAGTGCTGTTTGTGCGTTGCACGTGCGCCAGGCCAGCATCAAGAGCGTGACCATCGAGACCATCAAGATTCAGTCGAAAATGGCCGCTCCAGATGAGGATCTCAGGCAGAATCCTGAGTTGGTTAAGGCAGATGTGATGGCAGAGCTTCTACGATGTATCGACGGCGCAATTATTTGGCGCCAAAGCAAGGAGGGAGCATGGCACCTGCTTAACTCGCGCTATGCATTTACGTGGAAGCTGCAGAACGACGGAGCCCGCATTGCGATGCGCCGCCCGACAGTGCGCGGATTCATGGACATGGGGCGAGGTCACTTGGACAAGCGCAGCGGAGCCGCGAGTTCTCGGGGGCAGCGTGCGGTCGTGGCTACCGCAGACCAATCAGATTGGCCCATTGCTTCAATGGACAGATCGCAGGCTCTTCTAGAAAGATTGGCTTTGACGAACTGCGGCAGATACGTGGTGGGCAAGAGGTAGGTCCCCCTTCTGTTGCCACATGGTCGTGGAGGTATGAAACCCGCGGGGAGCGCAGTGCGTGGCGCGTTTAAGGGCTGTGGGGGCTTCAATAATGCCGCGGGATGTCTGGAGATGTTAAGGGAGGTTTTGATTTGATCGGCGCGCCGAACCTGTTTTCGACGAAGGCCGACCAAGTACTGAAGCATGAGAACATATGGCCCATTAATTCTGATCCCAAGATATACCTGAGGCTCTCAGGCGGCAGGCAGATACTCATGGTGATGGGCGACTACAAAGCAGACGGCGAGAAGCAGACTCCTGATGAAGTTTCATGAGATGCGGAAGAAAGAATTCGGTAGAGATGCCAAGCTAAATATTGAGCAGACCTTCGTTCACACAGGTATACGACATCGTATCACTGAAGAGGGCAAGTGTATAATTCTAGATCAGATTGATGATGCGGCTGCTATCAAGCCTTTGGCAGCTACTTGTTTCCAGAAGATGAGTGGCACGCAGCCGCTAACTGAGGAGTTGAATGCTTGTTTATGATGGCTTGGTTGGTGCAGACAAGGCCGGGCGCGGCGATGCACGTGAGTGCCCTGCAGAGAGCGGCCGAGAAGCCGAAGGTGCTGGATCTGAAGCTGTTCAACCGATTGTGCAGGTACGCGAGGGAAAGACAGCATGGCTTGGAGTACAGATAGATTCGGATGCCAGTATATTGGGTTGTTGTTGGCGACAGTACCTACCAAGCCCCAAGCAATGCAGATCAGGCTGTAGATCCCCTGGCCATGAGAGGGCATGTTGTTGCGCTGGCGTAGTACGCTGAAATGCAGACGGCCCACCAGATGCATTTGATTCTGTTGTTGGGAGAAAGCAGAAGCATGTATGTCTTGGGAGTCTGGAGTGCAGAGACGCATAATCAATGTGGCATGCTGGATATGATGGTCATCGAGGTGTCGTTACTTGAGGAAGTTCGATTGGGCCCGCAGACTTCGATGCGAATGAAGGAGATGCGCGAAGCTGGAGATGCTGTTGAACAGTGAGGCTTTTACGCGCTCATGTTCTTTATTGAGCTAGTTGCCGGCTGATCAGTTGAAGCTCCAAGCTGATACGGGAACATGTTTTCGTCTTGCCGATATTCGAGAACGGCTGTGAAAGAATTGATGCGAACTCGAGCTCTAAAGCGGCACTTCTGGGTCGACGCCAGACGCATGTGTGTCGATGGCATGATGAAAGGCGAGCTTGACCGCGCTCCGCTGAATCATGTACTGACCGGTGTGTGGAAGCTTCTGCACACTCGCAAAGTCTTGAAGGCTGAAGACGTGCAATCAGTTGCCACCTAGGGTTGCTGCCGGCAGTCAGCAGATTTCGGTGACTACCTGTCGCACGAGTGATGTTTTGATGGTTTTGGGCCAATGTTGCCTCATCGGATAACGAGTTTCTCTTTTGCGGCCAGAACATAGAAGGTCGCGGTCTGCCTTTTGCCCTGTTCTGTGCATTTTCACAGTTGTGTTGCACGCTTCGGTTGCGCGGCCTGTTTCAATGCATCGAGTGCAGTTTTAACGCAAAGCAAGAATATTCGCGTTTTGATAACACTTCGCCCAGAGCCGATTTGATTGAGCAGAGAGCGGGCCGGGAGAGGATAAGGTCTGTGTGCGTGCGTTGCGTTCTGCAGCCTCCCAGGCGCGAACTACGCAGTTGATATCAGAGAGCATTCCCTTGCAAGATGACGAGACAAGAACCAGGGCACTTTGTTGTTACTACTTGATAGCCATACATATATATATATATATGTATGTACATGTATATGTCTGTTTGCTTGCTGGTGTCAGACTCTTACCACACGCGTTGGAGCTGCTGGCTAGCAGGTGGTATAGACATGTCGACATCATCTCACAGAGGGGAACGCTAAGGAAACCGAGCTTGTTTTCGACAGCTCCAGCGGACGAGGAGGACGACGAGGAGGACGATGATGAAGAGTAACATCAGGAGGGGGACGAGGATGAGGAGGAGGAGGAGGAGGAATACCTGTGTAAACCCAAGAGTCATCAACGATGTTGGCATAAACTGTCCTTCCATGCTATCACTCCTTAGGCCCCTCCTTAGGCCCCTACAAGGGTTCATTCCCATTGGGGGAACTGTCCGTTGGAAGACAACCGTTTGAAGACCCCGTTTTGGGAACTGCCCCGCATGCCAATCTGCTTCGTCTGCAGCGCCACGGATCAACCTGACTGTTGCGTTTTGAGGATCCTGAAACACCTTTTTTGGTACGTTGACCGTGGGAATCCGTGAAACGTTTGCCACTTGTTCGAAACAGATGTGCGCGGCGCTGAAGCAAGAGCCACATCTTGAAAACGGCGCGCTCCCAATGCGTATTTTTTTAAAGTATTTAAACGAATGTGCGCGGCGCTAAGGCGAAAACCACATTTTGAAGACCATCCGCCCTGAATCCGTGGAATTCGAATTCTTTCAATTGGAAAAATGTAAGGTGCGAAGGCGAAAACCACATTTTGAAAACGAACCGCGTTCAATCCGTGAAACTAATGATGTTTGAAACGACTGTGCGCGGTGCTAAGGCGAGGCCCACAGTTTGGAAATCACGCGCCCTCCATATGTGAAGTTGTTGACAAAGTTTAACTTTCAGGGCCATACGAAGTAGGAACTCTCAGGCGAAACGCCCGGCCCGCCGTTTCGACTGGCCCCGGGATGCGAGAGGGAGAAGTTGTTCATAAGGAAAAGGAGTGGAGGATGAGGAGGAGAAGGAAGAGGGGGAGGGGGAGGAGGAGGAGGGGGAGGAAGAGGAGGAGGAGGTGGAGGCGGAGGAGGAGGCGGAGGACAAGGAGGAGGAGTAGGAGCAAGAGGAGGTAGAGGAGTTGGAGGAGAATGGGGAAGACGAGGAGGACGAGGAGGAGGGGGAGAACGAGTCAGATTAGGGAGGAGGAGGAGGAGGAGGGGGAAGACGAGGAGGACGAAAACGATGGGAGGAAGAGTAAGATCATGTGGACGAAGAGGAGGAGGAGAAGGAGGGGGAGGGGGAGGTGGAGCAGGAGGAGGCGGAGGAGGTAGAGGGAGGAGGAGGAGGAGGAGGAGGAGGAGGAGGAGGAGCCACACCGACACCGATGCCTCTCCGTCGTTCGGGCTTTGTGGGTGCCTCCTGGAAGAGGGGGCGCTCGTCGCCTCGGAGTGCTGTCCAGAGCGCGCCCCGGGAGAGATCCGGGGAGCCGCGATTGCGGTACCGTTTCGGCTTGCTGTTTTCGGCGGCGAGCCCCAGGGGGAAGTGAGAAGGGGCAGGCCTTCTCAGAAGGCTCGGAAGTCCCCAGGCCTTCTCAGAAGTGTTCGAAGCATTCCCCGAAGACGCAGAACAAGACTCAGCATGCGCGAGGTCGTCTGAGGAGTCCCGCCGCCTTCTGAGAAGGCCCTCTCCCTCTTACTTCCCCCCTTCGCTCGCCTCCGACCCACAGGATCTGCGCCGGGAGCTGAGCCAGAAGGAGGCGGAGTTGGCCGCCCTCCGCCTGCAGCTGCGCCAGAGGGCCCAACAGGACAGCGCCGGGGCGGGCGGCGGGCTGGAGGCCGAACGGCCGCTGGCCATCGTGATCCCGATGGTCGGGCTCGGGAACGCCTTTGCGCAGGCCGGGTTTCGGTACCCCAAGCCGCTCGTCAACATCGTCGGCCGGCCCGTTCTGTTATGGCTGCTGGACCGCCTGAGGCCCTCGCCCAAGGACCTGGTGCTGCTGGCGGTCCCCGCCGTCATGGAGAGGCAGCACGGCGTGTCGAAGATAGTGTCGCGGGAGTACCCCTCGCTGTCGATGCGGGTCGTGATCCTGCCGTTCGAGACTCGCGGGTGGGTCGAGACCATCCTGGCAGTCTCCAGGCAGCTGACCGCGAGGGAGTTGCGGATGCCGCTCGTCACGCTGGACTGTGCCACCCTCTACCACGGGTGGAACCTCCTGGAAAAGGCGCGAGGGCTTCCCGAGGGTATTGGCGCATCGGTGTTCTTCGACACCGAAAACAGCGCCGCGAAGCTGATGAGCATGGGCGCAGTGGCATCGCAGTTCTCCTACCTGAAGCTGGGCGAGGGGGACACGATCACGGACATCCGCGAGAAGAGCGTGATCTCGTCCTACGCAAACACCGGCGCCTACATCTTCAAGAGCGCCAAGGCGTTCAGGGCCGCCGCCGAGGAGATCCTGAACGCTCCGGAGGAGGCCGCGCAGACCGGGCTGTACGCATCCGTGCTGATTGCCTCCATGCTCGCGAAGGGTGAGAGCTTCGTCGGGCTGCGGGTGGAGTCGTCGCTGTTCGCGATCGTGGCCACGCCCAGGCAGCTGGAGGCCTTCATCTGGCGGGTCTCGAGCGGGGAGGTGGCCACGCACCGCAAGATGCGCTTCTGCTTCGACCTCGAGGCCACGCGTGCCCCACAGCAAACCTGTCCGGGAGGGTGAAAAAAACATGCCGATTTCCAGACCTTCGTCAACGGTTCGGAACCATCTGTTCGAAGACGCCAAGACCCCCAAGGGGCCTTGTCCACGGCCGCCCGGTTGAGGGGAAGGAAGGATGTCCAAAACGACGGGTTCGTGAGCGATTCGAGAAGACATGTTCGCAAACGGTGATCGGGTCGGCCCTGACCTCGAGGCCACCCTCGTGTCCGACACGCCCGGCGGGGGCCCTGAGCGCTGGGAGCCGATTCCGGAGGCGATCGCCCTCGTTCGGCAGTTGCACGCCGCGGGCCACCGGATCATCATCACCACGTCCTGCGGCATGCAGGGGCAACCGCTAGGGGGGAGATGCATCGGCGATGCGGCGCGATCCTCCGACCCCATCGGGCCTCATATGGGAGGCATCTGCAAGGGAGACGTCGGCAATTGGGGGCGGCAGTGACAGTTTTTGGCACCTTGACAGTGCAGAATGGCTTAACGCAGAGGCAACGTTAAGTGAGGATTGGCTCAGGGGGAAATGCATCGATCCCCAACAGCCTCTTCATCGCCGACAGGGGCCCGATTGCCCACCCCGCCCAGGAACGTGAGGTTTTGCCATCGGGGTCTCTTCCCTGATCTACCGTCGATGTATCGCAGATTCCAGGTCGATGTTTCCCCTCTGAGGTGGACTGCCCCTATCGGTCCCCCTTGAGGCATGGACAAGAACCGTGGCGCGGACTCCGCGATTGCAGAGATGGGCTACAGCACGTTCTGCATGCTGAAGAACTTTGACATTCCGTACCACGAGGTGCACTTCGGGAAGCCGCATGCGGACGTATACATCGATTCCCGGTCTCTGAACGGCCAGGCGGATGTGGAGCGCGACCTTGGCTGGTACACCACCCAGCAGTCACACGAGACAGACGAGTTTGGTTTGATCGAAGGAGCGATAGATGCGCGCGCCTTTAACCTGGTCAGGGCCGCCGGGACGTCTCGCGTAATCAAGTCTTCCACTGCTGACGTCTTGCGTGGAGAGAACCATTGGTACCGTTCCATCCCTCCTGGACTTAAAGACCTGTTTCCCGAGCCATTCGAGATTGTGGACGGCGACGAGACTACGAATCAGATGTCGTCGATCACCATGTCCAAAGTCCCGGGCGTTACCTTTTCGCATCTAGCAACTTCGCGATTGCTGATGCAGGTGTGGGTGCGCAAGCTGGTTCGTTCCCTCCATCGAATACATACCCAATCGGCAGAGCCAGGCTCTCCTGGGGCGCTGGAGGCGCGCGCAACCCCTGAGGAGCTGTGCTCGAACTACGCCAGCAAGGTGCGAAAGCGCGCGGAGAAGCACAAAGGGCTGTACGATTCATTGGGCGAGGAGGTCGGCATCGACACGGGAAAGATGGCCGAGTGCATCATCAATTTTATGGAGGACTTCGAGGCCAACCAGAAAAGCCAGTGGGCGCAGTTTATCCATGGGGATCCTGTTTTCTCAAATATAATCCGCACTGAAGGCGATGGCATCATTCTTATTGACATGAGAGGGGAAATCGGGAAAAGGCTCACAACCCAAGGGGACGTCCACTACGATCTTAGCAAGGTTTATCAAAGTCTTTGTGGATATGATTTCATGCTGCTCGACCAGTCGTTGGATGAGGCATCGTCGGAGATATTCGACGGACTCCGAGCCGCATACTGGGAGGAGGTCAGCGAGCTGTACCCACAGATTTCCCACCGCAATGTTCGCTTACACACAGCGTCACATTTCTTTGCGATTGTACCGCTCCATGAGGTGAGATCTCGAATGATCCGGTACCTCAGGCAATCCCACTCCATGCTGCTCGTGGAGGGTCTGATGTCATGACGCTGGTCCCATGGAGCCAGTCGCTGTTACAAGCTACCTTCTCCACAACAGCGCATGTACTTCAGCACTTCTTGCTGCGGTCAAGGAGAGCTTGAACTGTCAAGCATTTACCTCCCTGGCGCCAGCACCGGTTGACAAGATTAGCCAGCCCAAGCCCATGCAGCAGAGCCGAACCTGTCCCACCCCAGCCATACCTGGCGCCACCGGCAGTTGCTGCCACTCGGGCCCAGCCCCGCCAGGCATTGTTCGAGATCCGCGCTGTAGATTTGTTTTCCATCGGCCTTCATGCTTACGCGGGCATAGTTCACCTCCTGCCCGCCTTTCCCCCTCCCTCTCTTGCTTCTACTCCTCCGCCTCGTCCTCTTCCTCTCTTATCGCCCTCCTCACTCGAGGAGGGGATGCGCAGTAGGCCCCGCCGCGAATCCCTCGGGGGATGGCACTCAGATGCGCCGCTCCCCGAAGGCAGAACGGCGACGGGGGCCTCCCCCACCTTTTGACCGACCAAGCCCGTCCTCCTCCTTCTCCTCCTCCTCCCCTCTTCTCCCCCTTCTGCTGTTGCTCCTCCACCTTATTATTCTCATCACTGTCATCCCTCATTATCCCTGCCCGCTTCCTTCTCCGCCTAAGAGCACCTCCGCCTCCTCCTCCTGTTTTTCACATGTTTTTTCCTAATAATTTCTCCTGCCTGCGGGCGGTGGCAAGAAGAACGGAAACCTGGGGGGACGAGGAAATAGAAATGGAGGCAGAGGGATTGAAAGAGGGAGGGGGATGAGGAGGACAGGGAGGAGGAGGAGGAGGAGGATTATGATGAGGAGGAAGAAAAGGAGGAGGAGGAGGAGGAGGAGGAGGAGGAGGAGGAAAGGGACGGGGGAAGGACGTGGCAGTGGAGGCGGAGGAGGGAGGTGGAGGTCGAGGCGGTAGAGCAGAAACGGTAGGAAGAGGAGCTGCGCCAGCTTGCAACGACCTTCCTCTGACGTCTATGTGCATGTTGCTTTGCCCCCGCGGGGCTGCCCAGGGCAAGGAGGACGGGAGAGGCGTCCTCGTGCTCCTCCCCCAGGGCCACTTTGACTCAAGATGCCCGCTTTCTGGGGGTGAAGCGGACACCGCTGATCCGTGGCCAGACCTCGGTTCCCGGCGAGCACCTGAAGGAGCGATACATTCCGTCCACCTCGGCAGACGGGGTGGTGGGTGAACTGAGGCATTCTCCGGTCATGCCCCGTCTAACGCCAGCCGTTTGCCGGATGTTTTCGCCAGGCGCAACAAAAGGCAGCTAAGGCCAGCAAGGGCGTTCTTGGCGCTCCTGTCTCTCACCCTTCCAAGTCGTAGATTTCCCCAAGGCGGCTCGCAACGACGATATTGACCGCACCACGTCTGGCCGTTCCGCCCCCGGAGATAGCGACAGTGGCATGGACCCGTATTCCTGGGACCCGTGCATCATTGGATTCATCGGCTACTGGCCTTCAACGGAGTTCATAATAGAGCTGGTGGAGTTCATGGCAGGCAGGACGCGCCAAGACAGCCACTGACAGTGCAAAATGATTTGCCCCCGCGGCGGCCAATACATTGGAATTAAACGTATAATTCCCCGATGCGTGCAGGAAATATGTGGGGAACCTATCAGGCCTGACATCGACTCTATCAAGCGTCGTTTCCAAACCCAGATCATCACCATTGCTTCGACAATTGGCTCATTGGACAACAGAACGACCGACCTCGCGAGGCAGTTTGACGAGCTGCGTGCCTTTATGGGTGAGATGCGCCACGAGCTTGCAGTGGCCAGTCGAACTCAACCACCGCCACGGGTGGCCTCAAACTCATTCGAGAGAGTCGTTGATGGGACCATCCCCAACTTCGTGGCCCCAGACATGGCGCGCAGGACGGACGTCGTCGTTTCGATCGAGGCCTGGTTCAATGAGGCTGATATACCCGACCGTCTCACAATATATCTTCTGTTGCACAGATGCACGTTGCATCGTTGGCAAGAAAGTGCATAACACTCTTTTCATCGATGCGTCGTCCCGGCACAGGTTCATGAGTTTTGTTCTTTGCCCCTGCAGCATCAGACGGCCCCACTCGACCCGCGTTGGTCGCGACGAGAGTCCATATCATATCAAGATGGGGATCACAGGCAAGAAGATCACAACTTTGTTGCGCGAGCACTCCTCGGATCACACGTTCTCTCTTCGACCGCCATAATGGTTGGATTTCAGAGTGCTCGGGGCCCATGCTTCGGCAGGGACCCCAGCCTGGTCGCGATCCGACCAAATCATGGCGCCGCGCTTTTGCAACGTGGGTGGTAGGGAAAATAGTTCCACTGCATCGTCAAGCGCGCCGTCGTGCCAACAGCTGCTCCAGAGTGGTCTCTTCAGCAACTTTTCTATCGCGTGCAAAAACAAGGTTGAAGGCGCCCATCCCCCTGCTGGCTCCCATCTCTGTATAGAATTGAAGCGCGCGCCCTCATTCGGCGCGCGGCCAGATGGCTACGCAGAAAGCAGAGCACCTCCACCACAAGTCGGGCATCGCAGACGCCATCTCTGCAGTTCAAGAGGCCCATCAGGGCATCGACGAGTTCATGTACATCAGGCAAACGGCGGACTACATTCGGATGTGTAGGGTCGCGTTGAAGACATCAGGGAGAGTCATCATCTCGGCCGGGTAGCAAGTGCCCTGCGTGCTTCGGCTCCGCCCTCATCCTCTGCAACTGCGTTGATTTTGGAAAGATTGCCAGGGGCGTCTTTGCGGGGCGTCCAGGCTGGAATTCGGCATTTCCGCGTTCAGAATCATCGTCTATCGCCCGGGCAGGTCCACGGAGTGTGCGGGGAGATCCAGAAGGGCTTGCGATGGGCACAGTTCTATCGTCATTCCCGACTGGCGGCGGCTCGCGGCGATTCTAGTTTTGCGGATGCCGACCGGCCTCTTGCAGGCCAAACATGAGCAGGCCCGCCCAGACAAGGCTGCGAATGCTGCGAGGGCGCACTCAAATAGGCGGTTATCAACATTCAGCCGCACGCTCGAGATGGTTCCAGCCGGCCCCGCGCGTCGTGGCAGAGGCGCCGGACGGCCGGCCGTCTGCGCTGCCTCTGGCCACCCGAGACAAGTTGGACATCGCGCCAGTTGTTTGGCAACGTCGCGGCCAACGACAATCATGAGCGGCTCTCGAAGAGAAGTCTCAGATCACGCTGCTGCGCCTTGGTCCTTCAACGCCGCCCCCGCGAGGAACCAGTCCTGGGCCCTTGCCCGGGCGCTTCTTTGCGAGGATGGGTCCTAGGGCAAGTTGGGCACGCCCATTGCTGCAGATGTCAAATTATTGGGCCTCTTGTCTCCTCCGTAACGGCTGGACATATCGGAGGTTCAACGTCTGCAGCGGCGCGCGACATTGCGACCGCGGTCCTTCGTGACCGAAGGCCAGCGCGTCTACGCGCGTCAGGCTGCCGAGGCTATTTGGAGACGGGGCCCGCGACTCGTCGGGCGTTGCCCATGACTGCGTCGACGTCAATATAGTTGATGGGGGGGCGGCGCCGCCTGATCGCGTCGATCCCCAGGGGCGGTCAAAGACTGCCCATCGCGCGGCTGCGGCAGCGGAAGTCGAGGAGATACGCGCTGCCAAATTCTCAGGCAAGGGACGTAGTCGCCCATCGTTGAACCTTGTCGTGGGCGCGCAGAGAAATATTCAGATTCGGGCCCCCATTGCCAAACGCCACGCTCTTCGCGCGACCAAGGCCGGCGAGGGCGATGAAATCTCGGCTGTCGAGACATTGGAGGGCCTCGCGGTTTATTGCGCGCCTGTCACTCCGAAGTCGGCGTCGTTCCCGTCTAGCGCAGCTGCCTACTCCGACGATCTCAGACAGTGCCCGCGGCGCCGGTCGACGCAGACACGAAGGTCACGTCCGCCACCTTCGACGCGGCGAGATTCCCATCATCGGGCACGCTACCTCGTCGTCGCAGCGCGGCTTCGCCCCCGGCATACAGCTTGCCAACGACGCCCTCGAGCTGGGCGCGTCAGCGAGACCAGCCTCTGCCTCGCATCAAGCGTGCGCCGAGCACCCCGCGCCCATCGCGCTCTGCTTCGGACGGGCGGGCGTTCCCTGGCCTGAACCAAGAGTTCATGTTTGCGGCACAGGGGTATGTTCGGCCACTGTCTGCGCTCGCGCTAGCGCGCGATGTCGCGCTGCAGCGGGCGGGGCGGGCGGCGTGATTGCTGAGATGTGGCAGAACAGCTCAGGCGGCACCCGGGGGCGCGCATTGTCCGGCAGCCTCGGTGCAGCGGCGACAACCCCCTTTCCTGGAAGATTTGGAGCGCGGGGTCGAATGTTTGGTCGCCCTGCTCGCCTGCGTCTTCCCCGCTAGCATTGCGGCAGAGGTTCGCGACGTCGTCCGCGCAGTTACGCCGCGGTGGGGTTCGTTTCGGGCGGAGGCCCAGCCCCTCCATCTCGGGCCACGGCTCGGCCCGGCCGCCCTTCCGCACGCGCCCTGGCGAGGCCCGTGGGAGGGGCGCGCGGGCGGGGTCTCAGCGCTTGCCTCTTCGGCTGCACCTTGGAAGTTCGACGTTCTGAATTGCGCGTGCCGGGCGCTTCCCGCGACGCGCCGCGTCGCCCCCCCTCCCGAGCGTGCGCGTCGCGAGGGGCACGCATGCGCGCTGAGGTTCCCCGCGCACCTGGTCGACGCGAGGTGCGTCGGCTTCTTTTGCCCCAGCAGTGGGGCGGCCCCGAATCTCGATATCTTGGATGCGCAGCGCGCGCCGCGCATGTCAGATCAGCGAACAATTTTCATCCTGAGCACGCGGCGACGTCGCGGGCGCTCCGCCAAGTGGCCGAGGGAGCATGCAACCGCCGGATGTCCAAGGACTCCGCCAGTAACTCTCTGGCGCGCGGTCACCGTCGCGCTGGCTTTCTGCCGCGCGCGCGGAGCATTTGGGCGCGGCGACTTCCGCGGGCCCTCCCAGGGCAGCGGCCGCTGGGGATTCTTTTCTGAGATCGCCAGAGGGCGAAGCAAGGCATTCA